AAGAATCCCCCCCCCCGGGCCCTGGAGGGAGAAAGTTCCGCAAAGAGTATTTTGTCTGGTCCTGTTTTTCCGTCGCTCCACGGGATGTTTCAGGCCCCGTCACCTTTTCCCGTTTGCGCACGTGTGGGTCCTGTTGCCAGCAACCGCGCTAGGTCCAGGAGGACCTCGAAATTAATTCGGGCTGAAGAGGGAAAAGACTTCAGTGCGCCCTCCTCCTGGGAGGGGAGGGGATTGCTGCATCAGAGGGAATTAGAGGCAGTAGCCAAACTCCAGGCATAATTATACCACTTGGTAAATGCGAGTTCCCAGAGGAAAGGGCATCTGTTGAAAAGTATTCCCACCAGAAAATCAGGGGAAATCTTAACAGATAAACTAGTTGTTAAAGACCTGCCTTCTGGGGCCCAGGCTTAGGGCAGGGCTTGCAGGGAGTGGGGTGGTTGAGTGGGGAAAGGGCCTGGACTCGAAGGAGCTGTTGGAACCAGGCAGGCGCTTTTCTCTTTGCCAGGTGAGGCCGGCCATTGCATCCACACCTGGGAATATCTGTACTCAGTAGTGCAGAAGTGCCTCAGAAGCCGCCCGCCAGGATCCGTTTGCCTGGCTCGCCTGATTTAGGATTTGGGCCCTTTGGTTCCAAGTGCCCACTGCCAGCTGGCCTGGAGAGAGGATAGTGTCCCATTGAGGCCCTCTGCCCACACCTAACTGTCCCCAGATGGCCCTCGCAGGCCTTGTGCTGCCTCCCCTGTGCACTGTCTTTCTGATGATTTCCGAACGTTTAAAACGGCTGATGCTTTCTGGGGCAGTCACAGAATGTTCCCCTGTGTTCTGCGCTTCTGTTGGGGAGCGGACGACAGGGTGATCCCAAAAGTGTAAGGAAGGGGCAGCCGCTGAGGCCAAGCCCCCGGGGTCATTTCCAGCCACCCATTCGGAGGTTCCTCGAAGTGGCCTCCATGCAGCCGCGGTCCTGGTGCCTTAAAGGAACTTGCTGGGGTTGAGGCTGCTGTGTGGAAAGTTGGGGGACAGCTAATGACGAGCCAGGTTCGTTCATTCCCAGATATCCTCGAGAGCTCAGCCTGACTGTCGGTTGACCTCGGCGGCCAGGCACCCTTCCTGGAGAAACAGCTAATTGATTTGCTTCAATTCTTTGGTCCTAATGGCCAGGGAAGACGTCCAGGTGGAGTGGAGGAAGGAGGGGCGTAACCCTTGGCCATGGAATTGGCTTCGCCTTGCTAATACATTCTCATGACTTGACAAGTCCGAGGACTTGGCCGGGACTTAGGTGCCTGCCTCCAGTGAATGTAGCTCGAGTGTCTCACTGAATCAGAGACTGCTTTTTATTTTTACTACAATGGCACAGAATCTGTGTTTCCCCACCATCTTCATTTCCGAGAAGATTCCAGCATTCGGGGAGAAGGCCCCAGAGTGCAGAGGCTGGGTGCTGGGACCTTGAATCTGTTGGCTGAGTCTGCGGTGTGCCCTTAACCGGGGGTGTTGAGGCTGAAACTGGCGCCAGCCCCGGGCCATAGATGTCACCCGGGCAGTGCTTTGGGCACGGCCTGCCGGCTGCAAAGATCACCCGTTGCTGCCTTGGAACCTTCCTGTTTACTTTGGCCGCCGTGGCCGAGTGCTGGTGCTTACATTTCTGCCCATCTCCAGTGGAACTGTGGTCTTTCGTGCTTTCACAACAACTGCCCTGCCGCCTGTGGGCCCTGGGTAGGAACTCCGTGTCATCAAAAATGCCGAGAAGTCAGCCAAGGTCTGAGCAGCCAGATCGAATAAGTCAACCCGAGGAGACGGTATCATCGTGTAGGAGTTACCTCTCAGAAGCCGAAGCCGCTTTCCAGCGTAGTGGCGGTGGTGTCCTGATGATATGTGTTTAGTTTTCACCTGTAACTCTGCCAGCAATTCAGGGTTTGTCTTCCTGTCTCTCAGCATGAGCACAGGTCAGGGAGGAAGGCAGAGGCCCACGTCTGCAAGCGTACGTGGTGATTACAGCCTATTAGGGGTAATATAAATATTGTTTTGGGTTTGTTTGTGTTGAATGTTCTCCATATGCAGCGCTACTCAAATAGAGGCTTGCGGTTGATTTGAGTATCAGTTGTTTATCCAGACGTTCAGCCCTCGTATCTAGCTTTCGGCTGGGTATTTTCACCTGAATTCCACAAATCCTCAGTGCCTGGGCTTTACGAGGGCACCGAGCTCCCGTCCCTGCCCCTCCTACCGTCGCTGGCGTCCCCGCTGCCTGGATCTTGGAGTTGTTTGAATCTCTTCCACTGTGGGGTTCTGCCAGTTTCCCCTATACCAGGCTCTATTTAATCTCCGTCTCTCTCTCTTTTTTTTCCCCCTTCAAGACGGAGTCTTGCTCTGTCGCCCAGGCTGGAGTGCAGTGGTGTCATGATAGCTCACTGCAGCCTCAAACTGCTGACCTCAAGCCATCCTCCTGCCTTGGCCTCCCAGAGTGCTGGGATTGCAGGCGTGAGCCACGGTGCATGGCTTATTTATCTCTTTTCCCAGCCACTCCCCCTGCGTCCTCTGGGTGGCTGGCTGGGCTGCTCGCCTGTCTGCCCTGGTCTGCCTCTCCGGGCCTGTACACAGATTGCCCGAGGACTTTGACTCAAACTGCGTTTCCTCGTCTCTGTCACCCTCTTCTCATTGGTCCTCGTTTCTGTTGTGTCCGATCTGCACATTCCGCCCAGGTCCCTGCCCCTCCCTGCGGTGTGCCTGGTCCCTGGTGAGTCCCTGCTCCCTCTCCCTGCGGAGCCCCAAGTGGACAATTGTCCTGAGCCAGGGGAGCTCCTTCTGCCGTATTGTTTTTCAATTAACTGATTTTTTAATTGACAAGTAAAATTGTATATAGTTATTGTGTACAGCATTTTTAATTAATTTTTTTAAATTGCATCCCTCCTATGCCTCATTTCTTTTTTTTTTTTTCCAGAAACAGAATATTTATTTTAATTGCAAGTACCCACAGAAGGTTTACAAAAGTCAACCCTACATTAGGCCAGAGAGCGTATTCCAAAAAGTAGAAATAATGCAAACTGCATTCTCTGAAAGTGATATTTAATTATGTCTGTTATTTTTCAAGTTGGAAATGAGATGAGAAAGACCTAGAGGCATTGATCCGTCAAGCCCTCGAAAGTTTACTAACATCGTATCAAGCACTACTCCATGCCAGGCCTACGCCTTATTTCTTACGCCTGGCTTGCTGCACACTCAGAGCCCAAAACCTCTCTTGCCAGCTCTTCGGTGGCTGGAACCTCTTTGTCCTTATCTGCCTCTTTGGCCCTTCCTCCTGGGAAGCACCACCGAGAACGCCCTGACCTGGAAGGCTCTCTGGTTTAATTAATCCAGTGTTTTGGGGCCTCGGGTATGGTGGTTCCAAGGTAGAAGTTAAGAGGATGAACGAGATGTGGTTCCTGCTGCCAAAGTGTTCGCAGGGGCCTCAGGGGACAGCAGTAGATAGCCCAGGAGTGAGGGACAGGACGAAGTGGGTGCTGTGGAGACCGTGAGGGCATAGTTGGTCTCTAGTGTGGGCCAGAAAGGGCCCTGGGGAACGTAGCACACAAGCTGGAACCGAGGGATGAGTAGAGTTTCAGGATGGGTTTAGGCAGCCCCGGCTGCAGGGTTAGAAGAAACGAAGGCAGATAGGAGTGGACATTCCCGGAGTGTTTCGGGCTGGCCAGCATCAGATTGAGCTGGAACACAGGGCGTGTGCGTTTCCTGTGTTTTCTCAGTTCTGGGACTCGAAGACATGCCATCAGCTTAGGAACGACTTCTGTGTGCGTGTGTGTAATGTGCATGCACGCGGGGGCTCAAAACACAAACCTCGCACGGACCGTCAGTGCATTCTGACTTCAGAGGGTCAAACCGCGAAAGGAAGATGAGTGTTTCAGACTGGAGGAGACACACGCGTGGAAGATGGGAGGTGTGCCGAGGGGCTTGGGCTTCATTCTGAGGGAGCCGCAAGCCATCGGAGCATTAAAACGGAGGCGGGGGGTTTGGAGGGCAGGCAGTAGGATCCATCCGTGCTGCTTTCATCGAGTGACAACTGAGGGCAGAGAGGGAGGGAAGCCAGTCGGGCGCTGGAGCACTCAGCCAGGGGCAGGGGGCCTTGGAACGCCAGACAAGAGACAGGTACGGGAGCGATCGCAGCCACGGGGACGCACGTGGGCAGCTGGCGAGCAAGAGGGTTGGAAGGCGCAGTCGGGAGCTGTCTGGTGCGGGCCCCAGCGGGCGGCTCCGTGGGAGTTTCACTGGGAAGTGTGGGACTCGCCGCGGCCCGCCTGGCTCCTGGTTATCTCAGCGCTTAGAAACAAGTGCGCAAGTGTCCACTTGGCCTCCGCTTCGTTTTGTAACTTTCTTGTATTTGATACGAAGTGTCCGTGCTGTATCTTTTAGAAGCCTGGGAAGGATGTCACAGACCAGGGTGGATGTTTGCTGTAGGTTCCCTGTCCGTGGTTTCGGCCGACCCAGGTATTCAGAGTGCTTCGAAGGCTTGTGGCTTTGTGCTCGGTGGAGTGGAACGGGCCTGGGCTGCCTACGTTTCAGGGCAGAGCCTCAGACTCGTGCATGGCGAAGGGAGCTTGACTGCCGAGGCTGCACCTCCACTGGGACCTGTCACCAGGTGGCCACGGGGTCGCCTCTCTGTTCTCACTGGGAACCGCCCGTTCTGCCAGGGTTTGAGCTGGCAACTTAGGGATCTCAAGGGTCCCCCAGGAGGCGTCTAGGATGGGTGGGGATGAAAGTGCTCGGCTCAAGGCGCTCAGGAGGCTTGGCCAGAAAGGAGACAGAGTGGGCAAGTGGGCCGGCCCTCGGGTTACACAGGCCTAGGCTCAGGTCTGGTCCCTGCTCCTCACTGGCTGAGCGACCTCGTGCGTCCTGCTTAGCAGCTCGTTCTCGGAGCCTCGGTTTCCCCATCCGTGACATGAAGTGACTGCCCTGCAGCTGCACGGTTGTATCCAGGGAGACCTTGGTGGGGGGTTCCAGCTCCGGGTGGGCAGACGGTCAACCATGAGAGCTGAGCCAGCGCAGCCGTTAGCAAGGTGGTTTCTGATGGTGAGGAACGCTGAGAAGGAGGGACGTCGCCGTGATGAGATGATGTGGGTGGTGGTGGGTGCTTTCGGATTGGGTGGTCAGGGAGGTGACGCTCAAACAGAGCTCAGGGACGAGAGAAGCACCAGTGTGGGAAGTCCAGACAGAGGGAACCACAGTGCTGTGGCCCAGAGGCAGGCGTGAGCTGGGTGGATTTGAGCACCAGCCAGGAGGCTGTGCAGGTGGGACAGAGGGGCGGGGGGCCTTCAGGGCCTGCGTGGGCTTGCCAAGGGGAGAGGGCGCAGGGTGCACTAGGCACAGTGTGGTACACTCCCAGTTCCCGGAAGCTATGCCCATTCTCTGTGCTGGTTTGGAAGTGTATCGCCTCTCGAAGAGTCTTTCTCTTGAGTGTAGCCAGCATCGAAAGTGCCCGGTAGGTGAAGCGGCAGGACAGCCGGCAGCCCCCTGCCTTGGGCCTCGTGCTGACCCCATTCTCGCCTCTCTTTCCCTCCAGTGCACCGTCCAGGTCAGATTAGAGCTGGGGCACCGCGCCCAACTTCGCAAGAAGCCCACCACGGAGGGCTTCACCCACGACTGGATGGTGTTTGTCCGCGGCCCTGAGCAATGTGAGATCCAGCACTTCGTGGAAAAGGTGGTCTTCTGGCTGCACGACAGCTTCCCCAAGCCCAGACGCGGTGAGTGGCTCCCAGCCTTGAGTCCCCGTGGCACTGACCTGTGTGACTTCACTCCTGCAGAGCCCTGTTCCCACCCTGCCCCCCGGGAGCAGCAGGACCTCCATGCGGGGAGACTCCGGCTAGTCCCACAGTGTGAGGGCATCCAAGCCCCTTCTCGTCCTCCTCCAGCTGTTGACTCGGTCATAGGAAAAACTGAGGGGAGGTGGTGGCTGTCGTGTCATCAGTTAGACCCGGGCTCTGAGAAGGAGCTGGAGAGCGTAGCCGGGTGCTAGTGCATGGGAAGGTGACCTAACCCAGCTGTGAGTAATCAGGAAACTGCTTACTGGGCCTGAGTTTGGTCAGGGTGCCATTTTAAGAATTCATAATATTTGGGGCAGAAAGAATCAAAGCAGCTCATGTCACTGCTGTCTTGTCTCTTATATGTCCCCTGCTCCACTTCAGGCCTCAGGCTGCCATTGGTTAAGCACAGATGCTGCAGTCACACATTCTGCCAGCATCTCCAGCTGTGGTGTGGTGGCCCGGGCCTCCCTAGAGGGCACAGTCTGATGGGGCAGCGAGTCGGGAACTCACCCAGTTTATGGTCAGAGGGACTTCCTGGGGAAGTGACCCCGGGGAAAGATGGGAGGGGAATTTGAGGTTGGTGGTCTTGGGAGCTCCGTAGGGGCCGGGGCCACGTCTGGTTTTCAAATGATTGAGTCCCCAGTGCGATGCCCAGGGCCTGGCATGTCACAGAGGCTCAGTAGGTGCTTTTTAAATGGATGTATTGAGAAGGGAACGAAGGACTTCCCCTAGCAAAGCGCTTCACAGTGAGGAGAGCCGCCGCGGGCTCCCGACCCCTCCGCCTGGCAGCACGAGGGTCTAGGTAGTTCCGGGGGGTCGTGGGGGCTGAGCTGGGCACAAGTGTGATGTCCTTGGGCTGAAGCCCTGAGGACCCCGGTCCTGTGCCTGCAAGTGGCTTACAGTCTAGCGGAGAAGTGCCAGATGTTACAGAGGTAGAAACTTGCGGTTCCAAAGGGACGTCCACCCAAGATTCCTAGTGACGCAGGAGCCATTTCTTTTTCTTCCGGGTCCTTCCATCAGCCTTCGGCTATTCCTTTCCCTCCTCGTTTCCCCTTTCCTGAGTCTTCACCTTCTCCTCTTTTCCTTCCTTCCTTCCTAAGCTTCGGAGAGGATGGCAGCTATGGCTCCTGAGGACGCAGATATCTATAAAGCACCTCAGTAATGGGAACATGTGCCATCTCCGGAGCACTTCCTGCTAAGCTCTTTTCATAGGCAGGATCGTGTTTCATTCTCGCCACAGCCCTCTGCTGCAGAGGAGAAACAGGCTCAGGGGGCAGGCCGCCTGCCTGTACTTCGAAGGGGTCGGCAGGCTGGCCTGTGGGCGGGTCCGAGGCTGCCTGTTTTTATTGGCCACAGCCACAGCCATTCGAGGAGGTGTCGCCTGTGTTGCTTTCACAGACCAGCAACCAGAGCCGCCCTCCTCCCCTGGGCGGGGCCCTGGCTGTCTCCTGCAGCACCCACTCCAGCTCTTCCTCACTGTATCCCTCTGTGCCCTCCCCTTCCCTCTGTCCCCAGAGCACAGCGATTGGCCAGGGACGACGATTTCTGTCCACTTTGAAACTGTTTATTTCAGCTTCATTCCCCGCCTTGTCGGTAACCAAACAGCTCCTCTCGGTAACGTTGATGGCGGTCTGTGTCCCACACACTTTTCTCTCTGCTCCAAGTTTTGTGTTTCTGGTGACCACCCTGCCATGTGGGGCCTCTCAGAATCCCTGGGAGGTGGATGTGGAAGCAGAGGTCACAGAGCAGCCCAGTCACCTGCTTGAGGTCATGGAGAAGCAGTGTGTTCTCTGAGCCCCAGATCCCTGGAAATGGGGTGATGGCCGAGGTTCACTCTCCCCAAGTGTCAGTGCGTGGGCAGCTCTTAGATGAGTAGCTGGGCCCTGCTGGTTGCAAAGTCTGTCCCTGTGGCCAGTGTGCAGAGGGCACTTGCATTGGATGCATCAGAGTAAACACCCAGTTTGCTGTTTGTTGCATTGAGTGAAACTCTGCTGGACTCGGCCAGAGAACTGACTGCAGGGCTGCAGCTTCTGCAGTGATACTTGATGTACTGAAAAAGTATCTTTTATATCAAATGCTCCACATTATCGCAAATCAAACAGAAACACACAAGGTACAAAATTGCCATTCCCCATGCTCCCTGGTCCTACCACCCAGGGGCAATCTTTCTAGCCCTTTCTGGACTGTGTTTTTATATTATTTTATGTTATTTTATTTTTTTGAGACAGATTCTTGCTCTGTGCCCAGGCTGGAGTACAGTGATGTGATCATAGCTCACTGAAACATGTAATTCTTGGGCTCAAGCCATCCTCCTGCCTCAGCCTCCTCAGTAGTTGGGACTACAGGTGCACGCCACCACACCCAGCTAATTTTTCCATTTTTTGTGGAGGCGAGGGTCTTGCTATGTTGCCCAGGCTGGTCTTGAACTCCTGGCCTCAAGCAATCCTCCCACCTGGGCCTCCCAGGAGCTGGGACTACAGGTGTGAGCCACCACACCTGGCCTGGATCGTGTTTTTAACATTAGCTAATTTGCTGCTTATTTCTTGATTTTTCAAATGTAAACAACGTTTATTGACTTGCTGGCTTGAAAGGTTGGAATTTATCTCAAACTGCCCCTTTTCCCACCGTCTCTAAGTTTTTTATAGTGCAGTGACTCGCTCTTGCGTTGTGTGTGTCTGTGACTTTGAATGATGACGTGAGCCTGTTTACCTTTGAGGTCCCTCACAGTCCCACGGCACCCTTTTTAGGGAGTCCTCTGGGTGCCGGGGCTAAATCGCGATTTCTTCGTCCGATAGGCCTACACAGCCGCATGCCTCTTAGCCTTTTTTTCTCGTTTTGGTTTATTTTTCTCCTTAGCACCATCTTAGCATATTATGTGTATTACTTATTTATCTTGCCCGTCCCCCTCCAAGGAAGACAGTTGTGTCTGTTTTGTTTGCTGCTACCTTTTTGATGCCTGTAGGGATGCAGTAGGTGCTTACTAAGTGTCTACTGAATGAATTAATGGATTCTTCTGCTCTGTCAGCTTCTGTCAATGTCTTCTGACTCTCCACTGAGGAAGATTAGGATACAAGTACCTCTATGTGTCCTTGGCCCTGCTATGCTTACCCACAACCCCCCCTTTTTTTAAGAGACGGGGTCTCCCTCTGTTGCCCGGGCTGGAATGCAGTGGCATGATCACAGCTCACTGCAGCCTCCAACTCCTGGGCTCAAGCGATCCTCCTGCCTCAGCCTCCCAAAGTGCTGGGATTACAGGCGTGAACCACCGTGCCCGGCTTTTTTTTTTTTTTTTTTTAGCCCCCTGAATGTTTCACTCTGGTTGCCTTTGACTTCTCTAATCACAACGGACCCTTCTCGAGGCAACGGTCTAGCCAGCGCCCTGGGCCTTTTCTCTGCTGTTCTCCTGAGGGGATTTATTTATTGCCCTATGTTTTGGTTTATTTTCTTATTTTGCTAGAGCAATTTCTCCAGTAATATCCCAAGAGATTAATTACTTAGGAAATTTCCTAAGAAAGCTGTGTGGGCAGTAAACTGTCTGAATCCTAGCGTGTTTGAAAATGCCATTATTCCTCACAACTCAGTAATTGTTCGGTCGGGTGTGATTTTCCGGTTTGAGAATTACAGGTTGAGTATCCCTAATCCGAAAATCTGAAATCGGAAATGCTCCGAAGTCCACAGCTTCTTGAGGTGCTGACACGGTGCTCAGAAACTGCTCACTGGGGCATTTTGGATTTAGGATTGCTCGTGTTAGGGATGTTGAACCAGCTGAATGCAAATATTCACAAGTCTGAAAAAATCCGAAATCCAGAACACTTCTGGTCTCAAGAGTTTGAGATGAGAAATAGCCCACCTGTGCTGTCACTCAGGGCTCTGCAAACGTCGCCTCCTTCTCTCTGAAGAGTCTGGTGCCGCTGGGTTCTCGTTCCGTTACACAGGACCTGTTTGTTTCTCTAGAAGCATTTAGGGTGTTTGTTAGGGCATTGCTTTATGACAGGATGGGATTTTTATTGTCGTTGTTCGTTGTGTTTTGTGACATTTGGTTCTTTCATTTTAGCTCTGGAAAACTGTTCTTCTGTTTCTTTGACAGTTTCCTCCCATCTATTTATTTCCTCTGTTTTCTCTTTCTGGGATGCTTGTCACTGAACTTCTCTGTGCCTGAGTCTTTCCATCTGTAAAACTTGAGGGATCGTCTCTGCTGTGTAAGATCGTAAAGATTCGGTGAACCAAGGTGAGACCCACGCTTGACGCTCAGTGGGTGCTTAGACATGGTAGCCATTGTCTGTCGTCTAATCTGCCAAACTGTTTCTTATTGTCTCACCTTTTTTAAAAAAAAGTATCTTTTTGCTCTACTATTGGGGAGATTTCCTTTACTTTCTAGTCTTGTTGTTGAATTGAAAAATTGTAAGTAAAAAATCTGTAATATCTAAGAGCCCTGTCTTAGTTTTATTTGTTGGGTATATCTCCTCGAATCCGAGGACATTGACTCCTAGGTTATTTATTTATTTTTTTCTTTTTTCTTTTTCTTAAGTTCCCTTGTGGTCTGCAACTTGTTTCCATGTCCTTGGCCTCTTTCTCCCAAGTGGGGATTCCTTCTGAGCACTCTTTTATGGGAGGGTGGGTTCCATTACCCAACAGGCTTGACGGTCTGTGGGCTTCCCAGTTTCCTAAAAGAGGAGGGCTTCACTCGGGGGTCCAGTTTCCATGCTCCCCCCGATAGCCGGCTCTCCTCTGGAGACGAAACCGCCTGGGTTTCCCCAGGGGGAATCCACCCTGCCTGCGCTCTGGGTAGGGGGAGGCTGGAGGGAAGAATCCCCGTGCCTGTTGTTCCAAACACAGCCTTGCAGTTTGCCTCTTTTTGTTTCTTTAAATAACTGCTTTACTGAGACATAGTTCACATCCCATAGAATTCACCTTTTTAATGTGTACAATTAGAGTTTTTAGTGTGTGCACACAGTTGTGCAGCCATCACTGCCGGTTCCATCAGCTCTAATTGCAGAGCATCTCCCCCACCCCAGAGGGAACCTGGACCCCAGCAGTCACCCCCTGCCCCCCCCAGCTCTCATCCTCACTCCTGCCGTCCCCCCAACCGGCCCAGGCCGTCCCTGCCCTGCAGCACCCTACGGCAGACTCTGGGACACAGATTCCTGTCCCCTTGCCCAGCCTGCCCTTGTCCGCTTTCTGCTGTCCAGAACCGTGCTGACTGCTGGCATCTCCTCCCTCCCCTCTTCACCCTCAGGGCTTTGTTGTGTGCTGTGCTGGTTCCCGTGGGCGCCCAGGCCGGAGGGTAGGCCAGTGCGTCTGCCTGGTCTCCAGCCTTGTGCTGGAAGCTCATACCCTTATCTCTGGAGGGACAGATGCTTTTCCAGCCTGGAAGTGCCCATCACATGAGAGGCCTTTGCAGAGAGAAACGCAGGGCAAGGGCCCTTCCCTGAAGAGGTGGGGACAGAGAGTAAATTTGGACAGATAACGCAGTCCTTATGGTGGGCCTTTGTGGTTGGATGGGGTTGAGATGGGAGTGGGGGTGCGGGCAGGAGACAGGGCGTAGGGTGGGGTCTGCGAACAAACCCCAGGCTCTGCCCTTGCCTAGGCCTCCCTTGCTGGGGGGTCACGGGTGGGAGCAGCCCACCCTTCCTCTCTGTCCTGCCTCCGCTTTCCTTCCTGGGTTCAGGTTGAGTATCGGGGTGCCCATCGGGTGCCTGACCTGGTGCGAGACTTCAGGGATGGAGGGAGGCTGCAGAGCGCTCCCGGCCAGTGGGGTTGGGCGAAGCACCAAGCAGGCAGCTCTCTGCAGCTGCAGGGATGCCACAGCCTCTCTCCACCTGCTCAGACAGGATCGAGGGACCCCATGGAGGCTACAGCGTGACCTGGCCTCCCTGTTCAGCAGTATTTGAGTACTTTCTGTCCCTGTACCACCTGAGGGAGGTGTGGCAGGTGGCGTGCTGGGCAGTGTTTGATAGTAGGTACTGAGTGCTTCCAAGAGGAAGTGTCACGTCCCAGCTGCAATCCCTGGGGACCTGAGTGATCAGCTTACAGCCTGGAGGTGTGGATCAGGAATGATGCAAGAAGTCCTGCAGCAGGCTGGGCGCAGTGGCGCCTGTAATCCCCACACTTTGGGTTTGGGAAGCTCAGGCAGGAGGATCGCTTGAGCCCAGGAGTTGGAGGCTACAGTGAGCTATGATCGCACCACTGCTCTCCAGCTGGGTAACAGAGCAAGATTCCATCTCTTTAAAAAAAAAAAAAAATAAGTCCTTCAGTGCTGGGGATCCTGTGGGAGAGAATTGTGACCTGGTGGGGTGAGGGGCTCAAAACAGGGGTCCCAGAGGAAGTGATCTGTGATCCGAGAGGCTCACCATGGCTGGCTGGCTGGCTGGATCCGAGGCTGGGTTGCCGAGGGCTGGGGCAGAAGGCGGTGAAGCTCCTTGCAGGTTGCTGAGGGCAGTGGGGGGCCACGTTGCAGTTAGCCCAGCAGCAGATGCCTGGGGGGTGCCCGAGGCAGGACGTGAGAGGCGTAGCTCCAGGACAGTGGGCTGCGTTCCAGAGGGGTTTGGAGGTGGACTTGGCCCTTGGCGACGGGTGAGCCGCAGGAGAGGGAGTCGGATGGCCTCGTCCTTGGGTGAGTGATGGGCCCTGAGCTGGGGGATGCTGGGGGTGGTGCAGGTTAAAGGGGCAGGAGGAGTTGGTTTGGGGAGGGCCTCATCGGAGGTCCCTGTCCAGCATCCCCGGTAGGACCAGGACATTGGAGGAGGAGGAGTCAGCACCAAGGGGCCAGAGGTGTCCTTTGGGCCTGTGTTGTCATCCTAGCCCGTGACTCTCTCAGACACAGATAGTGGTGTCTGACACAGTGGTGGCTGCTGCTGGCCTCTGGGGAGGCTGTGCCACGTGGTCCTGTGGCTGTTTGGGGAATGCCCCTTGCCCCCAGCAGGGAATTCAGGCCACCAGCTGTGGGCAAGGCCTCGCCCTCCAGAAATTTAGCTGGCAGTGGGGCAGGCAGCAGTGGGGCAGGCAGCCGGTGGGGGGAGCAGGGCTTGAGCCGGACTTTCAGGGAAAGTGGGGCTTGGGGAGGGGAGGGGAGGTGGGGTGGAGGGACCCCTGGGAGCAGGACCTGGGGCCCTGGGCCAGCTTACAGCCTGGCATCCGTCCCTGCAGCTCCAGTCTCTGGGGCCAGGTGGGTAGGGGTGAGCGAGGGAAGGCGGGCTCTGGGAGCCCCTTCCCTGCTCTCCTGCTCTCCTGCAGTTTGCAGACTGGGGCCCCTTGCAAAGCTGTCTAGCCAGCCCTGCCTTCGAGAGTCCCTACTCCAGACCTAGCTGCTTGCCAGTTTTGTTTGGATAGATACATGACATACACAAGGTTAGATATTTGAGTCTCTTTTTTATTTAAATGAAAAATCTTATGGTTTGAATTTTAAAAAAAGCATGTTTCATTATGTTCCATTGACTGTTTTCCAGCCATTTCTGGCCCACTTAAGAATGACCTTACTAGTACAGGCGTATGTGTGTAAAGGTTTTTAACAATTGGCACCACGTTAGGTGAAGTAAGCCAGACACGGAAAACAGACACTACGCGGTCTCACGTGGAGAATGTAAAACAGTCGGACACAGAGAAGCGGAGAGCAGGGTGGGGGTTACCGGCATGGGCCAAGGGGGGCATTGGGGAGATGATAGTCGGAGTGTGGCCTTCGGTTCCGTGAGATGAGTGGATGTGCTGTACGGTGTAGCGCCTGCAGCCAGCAGTACCACAGTGCACGCTCGAAGTTGCTATGAGCTTGGCTCTTATGTCAGATGTTCTTCGAAAACAAAAACAGCAGTAAAGGGGTGAGAGGAGACTTCAGGAGGTGATGGACTTGTTCTCGGCCTTGGTGGTGGTGATGGTTTCGTGGGTGTCTGTGTATCCCCAAACTCACGGAGACGTAGATATTAAGTATGTGCAGCTTCCAAAGTGTCAGTCACGCTTCAGTAAAGCAGGTAAAGACACCCACAGACCATGGGCAGGATGTCTTCCCACCTCCCAGTCGCAGTTGCTTCTGCAGAGGGAGGGGTGGGGGTCAAGGGATTTGATCTCTGCTGCTCTCATTGTTTTCTTAAAAGCGGGAGAACAGTGTTTCCACGGCTCTCGTATGCGAGAGCGTGTGTGTCAAAACTTCCAGTGGTTTATTCTGGAGGATGAAATTACAGATTATCTTGTGTGCACTTTGTTGTTCTTTGTTTCAATTTGGTTTTTTTTGTTTTTTAAATCTCTGGGGTTAACAAGGTTCTGTTCGCATCACTTGGGAGTGTTCTCAGTATGTGCAAAAGCAGAACCCAGGTGGACGATCCTCCTCCATCTCGCAGCGTGCGCGTCCCTGGCACAGAGCGGGGCTCAGCTCCCGTGTTGGAGGCTGTTACGGTGGGGCACGCGGCCCTGCCTGGGAGACGGAGCCCCAGTGGGTCTCACACCTCACTCAGGTCATGCCTACTGACCCCCTGCGTGGCCTTCTCTGGCCTTGGCTTCCTCGCCCGCTGCAGGAGCAGGCGCCCTGGGTGCAGAGGGTAACTGGCACCCCCTCCTGCTCTCCCTCTGCTGACCGCTCCAGGGGCCAGGTCACCTTTCCCCTCCTCTGCCCCTTTATTCCCCAGGACCCCTTCAGTGACTCTCCCTGGGGAGCTCAGCCTCCGGAAAAGCCGCCCTCCTGAGAGCCCCAGGGAGGAGGTGGCGGGGTGGGGATGGGGGCGCAAGTGCTGCTGCTGCTGGGGCTGGGCCTTGAACGGGACAGGAAGCTGATGGATGCGTTTTTTCCTTTTTAGTGTGCAAGGAGCCCCCCTACAAAGTGGAGGAGTCGGGATACGCTGGCTTCATCATGCCCATCGAGGTGCACTTCAAGAACAAGGTAGGATCCTTGAGCAGCAGCGGGCAGGGCGCATGCCCCAGAGGAAACCCTGGGCCAGGGACGCCAAGGGCGGCTTGCAAAGGTGGGGGTAGAACTGGCCGTCTCCGTGTGAGGAAGTGCTCTGGTCCCCACTGCGCACAGACGCACCCGTGAGCGCCGAGGGGAGTATGTTGGTTGCCATCCGATTGCTCTTGACGGCAGGTGGCCGTGCCCCAGGGTGCCACTTCTCCAGGGGAGCAGCCGGCCACAGCCCATCTCGTCACCTAGAGAACACACCCGCAGCGGCATAGGTTCCTCCGTGGTCCTAGAGGTTAGTCACTGGGCCGTACGAAGTGACAGATCTGGAAATAAATGTCCAGCAAGGGGCAGCTGGTTAGATAAACTTACAGCGCATCTTCCAAGCAGAATCTTTGATGACCTGTGAGGAGAGAGAGTTCTTTTTTCTTCTGAGACAGAGTCTGCTCTGTCTCCCAGGCTGGAGTGCAGTGGTGTTTTTACAGCTCACTGCAGCCTCAGACTCCTGGGTTCAAGTGATCCTCCTGCCTCAGCCTCCCGAGTAGCTGGGACTACAGGCACATGCACCACCGCGCCCGGCTAATTTTTCTATTTTTTGTAGAGACGAAGTCTCACTATGTTGCCCAGGCTGGTATTGAACTCCTGACCTCAAGTGACCCTCCCACCAGGGCCTCCCAGAGTGCTGGGATTACAGGCATGAGCCACCGCGCCTGGCCAAGTTCTTAATATTGTTCAGTGAAAGAAGCAAGTTATATGAATGATATTTATAGGAAAAAGGAATTACATACATCAAAAATGTTAACAAGGATAATCTGAGTGGTAGGATGGCAGCAGATTTTTATTTTCTTCTGTCTGCATTTTCTACACTTTTTCTTTTGGTCCAGTAATTAAAATAACTAAAGGGCCTGCCCCACTCCTCTTCTCGTCACCAAGGGGCTGACAGTGGCATTTCCTGGCTCCGGGTGACTTGCCCACGGCTGGCTGCTTTCCCACAAACGCAGCAAGACTGGCATGGCAGCCGCGTTGCCGTCTTTGGGGAAGAAGGGCTCCCCGGGAGGCCTGCAGAGCGCCCCGCTTGCTTACGCAGTGCCTGGTTTACACCGGCCATACCAGACGGGTGGCAGGAATCGCACTGTTCCGCAAACCACCTGGCGGTGAGGGCCTCTAGGAGTAGCGCTCGGATGTGCTGTCCCGCAGGGAGCCCAGTGACCTTTCAGCACATGGGACCAGATTTTAGGTGCTAGGCCTCCCAGGGCCTGTTCGCAGAAACCCGGGTCATTCTGAGGCCTTTTGGGAGCTGAGGCCCCATTGGGAAAAGAGCCAAGCCTGTCTGCGGGGGGTGGCGGGGCCTCCCAGGGCCAGCCGAGGGGCAGGTGAGCGGCTGGGTTTTCCAAGCTCCCTTTGGTGAGTGTGTGGAAGGGGAGTGACTATAGCAGCTGAGGTACCAGTCCTTGTGGCCAGTCTGAACTCACCCAGGGTGACTTGGATCACATTCCTTGGAGTTCAGAAGCAGTTTTGGGACCCACAGGCCAGTTAGGCCTTTTGTGTCCCATGACGCGGCCTGCAGCCACACAGGCACTGGTGGTGGCCGCTCCACTTCCTGGTGCCCTCAGGGGTCTGCCAAGAGGTTCCGGCCAGAGCCTGGCTCAGCAGCAGGGAGTTGCCTGCTCGTGGATTTTTGGGGCCTCCGTCCTGAGGCTGGCGGGGCCTGGGCAGTGCTGTTTGTCTCCTGCTTCTTGTACACCCTCAGCGGGGTAACCTCAGGCCGGCTGCCCCCAGGTGTCGCAGAACACATTCTGGGCATGTGCTACGTCCTGCAGCGCTCACCTGAGCCTGAAGTCCAGACTTCAGGGCTGTTTCTGTGCCGAGTTCCCTGAGGTTCTGCCGTGTTCGTCTGCTTCTGGTAGGGAAAGGAAGTGATTGTCACTCCTGGGCTCAGCACCCCACTGTGCTGGGCGGTGAGAGGCAGTGCGCCCTTTCTGAGGGTGTTCTCTGTATCCTTGCCTGCTCTTTGGGGTTCTTGGGGCTTTCCCTGCGCCGTACAGACCCCGTGGTCCTCCAGAGAGCCTGTCTGTTGCCTTTTTCCTTTGGAAGGTGCTACGCGCTCACCCAAGCACGTTTCCACTTCTCCAGGCACCCCTTTAGGGGGAGCATGTGCGTAGGCTCCCCGCGTCCTGCTACTCACGGCAACATCTGGTTTCAGGTCAAGATGTTTTGTTTAAGTCTAGTTTGTCGAGAGGTAATTTACATACAGTAAAATTCTCCCATTTTTAGTTGTAGCAGGTTTTTCGGATCTCAGCATGTGTTTTCATTTGAACTCTGTTGGAGAAAGGCCAGGTTTTCTGTTGGGGGGAAAAAAAGGGCACGTTGCTCGGTGTTTATTTCTCTGAACAATTTCTGCAGAGGCCGCGTGGCTGGGGCTGGAGCTCCGCTGTGAGTCTGTTCTGAGAATTACAGTGTTGCCTTTCCCAGGACAAAGGCTGGCTGCCTCCTCGTGCTCTGCGCCCAGTTCACTGGACTCCTCTCTCCCTGATGGCGGCTGTGCCACAGAGCGTAGAGGGCCCTGCACTCAGAGAACCCGGGAGGTGCGGCCACCACAGGCAAGGCCTGGGGAGACAGTGCTCATCACAACTGCGGGCGTGTGTGTGCTACACGTCCTTACTTAGTCTCCAAACAAGCCCCGGAGGAAGGTAACTGCCGCAGTCTGTGGATGGAGGAGCCCCTGGGTACTGAGTCACTTGGTCAGGGCCACATAGTAGTTGGTGGAGCCGGGATTGGAACCAGCTGTGCCCAAACACACACCCGTTGCTTAAATACCTGAGACATGGTTTGCAAAAGCTGGTTAAAACAAACAAACAAACAAAAAAACCTCCCAGAAACCCGGACGACCTGCAATGATAGTTCTTAATGAATTCCAGCATTTACTTACACCTAGTGCCAGGGACAGTTTTTTTTATGTATTGTGTTCTGCAAAGATTGTTTACATATGTGTCCCTACTTTAGATTTTTTGTAAAGCTTAGACAATTGTAGAAAAATTGGTTAGTTATAAAAGCAGCTGGTACAGATCAGAGAATACGGCATGCTATTTGGAACAGGGTCGTAGTGAGTGGATTTACGATGATTTTTCTACCCTGACGTGGGCTAGGTTGCATTCGGTTGTTTGCCACAACGTGTTTGTTGGCGGTAGGTAAGGCGAGCAGAACTTTAAGGTAGTGAGGCGAGAGGGCAGTGACAGGTCGGGCTGGGTCAGGGAGTTGGTGGTATCTAGACTGGGAGAGAGAGAGCAGTGAGGAGCACGCTGGGTGCAAATCCCAGGCTCTGGCCGTGTGGCTATGGGCAGGTTACTCCTCGGGGTGTCAGTTTCTCCATCCATAAAATGGGTTCGTGATCGTATCTGCTTCTCATGGCTGCTGGGAAGATGCAGACAGAGACGCCAGGAGAAAAGCACTTGGCCCTGGACCCGGCACATGTTAAGCATTTCCCTAGTGTTTGTGGTTGTTACTGTTGAGCTGGTGTCGGCTTCTTTCTCGTTTCCTGGGCAGGAAAGCAGGGTGGAAGGGGGAGCCCTGGAGATTTCAGACGGCTTTCAGGGCGCTGAGGGTCCAGCCAGGAGAGAGATGTTGTCCAGCTTCTTAGTGAGTGGGCTGAGTCTATAACCAGAGCAGCAAAGGTGCTTTCTCAAACACAGCACCTTTTCTCGTATAGGCCTGTAGCGTGCTTGACCTTGAATGTGGCGTTGTCTGCAAAACGAAGGAACTGTGTTTCATGTGATGTTCATGCACCAGAACTTAACTGCAGCCGAGTTTTGTTTGACCTGTTGGTGGGATGCTCTCTTACAGACAAATCGCTCCTTTCTCTCAAGGAAAAAAAAAACCAGAGGGCTTCCTCTGATTACAGAAGTAATGTATGTGTGTTGTAAAGAAAATTTTCTGAAACAAGAAGATAGCATTGCCTTGTCCGCATCCAGGGATGCGTGCATTGGGCAGGTTGGATTTTTTGCTGTTGTGTGCATGTCTGCAAATGTGACTGAAAGCTGAGAGTATTGCTATGTGGTTTACAAACAAACTTCAGCGAGTAGGTGAATTTGAAAATGTGGAATCCATAGGTGATGAGGTTCTGTTGAACCACACTTTGTGCATCCGTTCGCCTGTTGGTAGACGTTTGGGCTGTTTCTGCCTGTTTGCTGTTGTGAGTAGTGCTGCACTGAACATTCGTGTACTTGGACTTGTTTGAATATCAGTTTTCCGTTCCTTTGGGTAGATACCTAGGGATGGACTTGCAGGGTTATACAGCGATTTCGTGTCTAACTTTTTGAGGAACTGCCAAACGGTTTTCCACGGGGGCTGCACCATTTTATGTTTCCACCGGGAATGTGTGAGGGTTCCCATTGCTCCACGTCCTCAGCAATGCTTGCTTTCTGCTTTTCAAAGTCACAGCCATCCTAGTGGGTGCGAAGCGGTCACACATTGAGATTTTCATTTGCATTTCCTTAGTGGCCAGAGATATTCCACATCTTTTCACAGGCTTGTTGCCTATTTGTACATCTTCTTTGGAGAAGTGTCTTCATACCTCCATTGCCCACTTTTGAGTTGGGTTGTCTGTCTCCTTGTTGTTGGTTATAGAAGTTCTTTGTATGTTTTGGATATTGAACCCTTACCAGATGTGTGATTTGCAGATATTTTATCTCCTTCCCTCAGTTTATTCACATTCTTGATGATGTCCTTTGATGCACAAAAGCGTTAAATTTTTATGAAGTTTGGCTTATTTTTTCTTTGCTCAGACTTTTGGTGTCACACTTGTGACTCTGTTGCCAAATACGTTTACTTATACTACTTTAATAGTTTTAGTTCTAATGGTTAGACAGTTGGTCCGTTCTGAGTTGTTTGTGTATGGAGTGAGGGCGAGGGCCCAACTTTATTTTTTTGCATGTGGTTTTCCGGGTGTCCCAGCACCATTTGTTGAAGAGACTCTTCTTTTCCCATTG